AACTCCGTCAAGCAGTAGAGAACGTAGGCGAGAGATTTGCAAGCCGACATCTTACGATAGTGTTGAAAGCGTGTGGCAGAGCAATAAGATGCCTCCTCTTTGATAGGCGGATATTTCCACAGGCGAGACTGGTCTTTAGTCCAGAACGCAATTACTGAGACGTAATGAATCGAGGAATGAGTGACTTGGTGCCAGACTCGTCTGGGAGGATAAAAGCACTGACAAACATCGGCTGGCCACCGCAAGTCATTGTATAGGCCACATACGTATACAATACGCCACTACGATTCTGAAGGGAAGATGGATGCGTTGGCGCATCTCTCAGACGAAATTGATCAACGCCCCAACACGTTATCCTTTATCCTTCAATGAACAGAGGCGTGCTGTGCGCAACTCAAAACGTGAAGAACGAATTCAACTGCGACTTTGGGAGGACGGACAAGGGGGATTCGATCAAGAGACCACAGTCTTTCCAGTTCACCGCATATCTATAAAACCACCAACGCAAAGCAGCAATTCGTTTAAGATAAACATGCATTACTTAAGATAATCTGGACATTGCATTCACCTGCACCTGTATCACCTGTACTCCCGTTGATCCTCGATTTGTTCGGGCGATCGCTAGCGTCTCCATTCGTCCCCGTCGTGAGCCAGAGTAGTCCAATGAATCACAATCGCTCAAGAGACACATGACAAAGCATTTCTTTCATCCAGAGCTTTCGTGAAGAAGTCTAGCCTCGTTGACAGCCGTCCTAGAATTCGTTTGATGTCCCGAGGGATTCAGTCCGTTATCGCCCTGGTTTACAGTCATCACTATATCGCATAACGTGTCCGACACACCTAATCTTCAGCTGTCGATGGCGCTTGGAACTTCGTATACCCTTCTGCACTTGCGTGTATAATGAAATTCGGAGCATTGTCCTTCCCACAGCGCTTCAAATCACATGCTCATCCTGCTTCCGTAGGGTCCAAGTGTCTGGGGCACATATCAAAGCAGGAAGGACCGCAATATCGGAAAGGTGAGCGTGGAGCCGGATGTTCTTCGCTTTTCTAACTACTCTCTCGTTGTTCTTTAGTGTTCCTCACGCCGTGCATTTCCGTCTGCTCAGAACCGGAGCTAGGTCGTTCATCATGTTGTTTTCTCGACCCGGATACACATAGACAGAGCATTCAGAGATAATCGTTCCGTTCAGCATGAAAGTAGCATCAGGTACCAGTCCGTTTCGCATGAACATCGTCCTTGTTAGGTTCAATCGTAATCAGATCTCTTCACAAGCATTGTCGAATTCGGCCAGCATTTGTTCCACCTGCTCGATGTCGAATGTTATAAGCACGATGTCATCTGCAAAGCGGAGATGATGTAGGTAGCGGCCGCCGACCTTTACTCCCATGCTTTCTCAATCCATATGACGCATGTGGTTTTCGAGAGCGGCACTGAAAATTTGGGCGATATGCTATCGCCCTGTCGAGCCCCTCTCTTCACGTTGATGATGTCGAATGGCGAGATCCTGCTCGTGAAGTTGTTTTAGAACTCACAAAGCATCCTAACATATTGAGTAGCAACACTCTGGTTGCCCAGTCTTCAACTACCGCTTCTGTCTCGACGGTATCGAAAGCTTCCTTCAAATAGATGAACGTAAGACATAACGGCATTTTGAACCCGTGCGATACTCTCATGAGTCTCGCAAGAGTGTGATATGATCGTTTGCACTGAACCCTCTCGACACCCTGCTAGCTCGCATGGCTGTCCTTCATCTAGTATTCTGCCAGTCCTGTCTAGGATGACTCGAGCGAAAAGCTTACAGATTACAGACAGCAGGCAGATGGGGCGATGATTGTCAATGGCGTCTGGATTTCTCTTCTCATACAGCAACACGGTCTTGCTAGTTTTCCACGAAGTTTGCACTTTGAATTGCTACAGGTACCGCGTGAAAAGCCGAGCCAGGGTTTTGACAACGACTGACGGAAGGCTCTTTAAATGTCCTGCTCTGATTCTGTCGGGACCGGTTGCCGTACCATTCCTTATCGACGTGATGGCATGTCGAATTTCGAAAGGGAAAACTAGAGGGACGACGTACCCGTCTTACCAAACATAGTAGGTAGGCGGGTAGACGTGGCTGTCGAAAAGATCAGGGTAGAAGCTGTAGATGACCTCCTTCATAGCCCTTCAGGATGCAGTAACATTTCCGTCAGGCCGATTAAGAGAAGTCATCTTGGTCTTGTAATTGGCGAAGCTCCGTCAGGCTATGCAAATGCTCTTCCCAGCTTCGGCGGCTTCGTCAATAACTGCTGCTCTTCTCTTTCGGATCTCCTTTTATGGCTTCTCTGCATAGCTTCGCAAGTTCGGACGTCAGCTAGTCATTGCCTCGCACGATTCCACGCTGGCGTAACAGCTTGAGAGTCTTCGAAGAGAGTCGTTTCTTGGTTTCTTGTAGACTCTCTGTTTTCCTAGCGCTACCGTGAAGATGTCCGACGACCCGGTTGTATTCTTCATCAATGTTGTTGTTAACGGCATCTTTCCATTAACTCGCAAGGGATGCGAAGTGCTCTTAGTTGATGGAAGTCCTGGGGCTTGGTTTCCTAAACTTCATAGCTCTCTCTCCATGTGCTGAGAAGCGGAACCTAGCGCCGAGGAGACAATGGTCCGGTCCCGTGTAGAACTTCGGAGCAACAGCCAAGACAGTCAGGCAAAATCTCCGAGTGAAGATGATGTGGTCTATTTCATTATGGAACTGTCCACCAGATGACTCCCATGTCCATCGGTGAGGAGTGCGAGGAATTCTGGAAATGCCAGTTACCATGGATAGTTGGGTCGACATGATAAACTCGGACAGCCTTTCACCCTGCTCATTCCATTCCATTTCGCGAGTCCCGACGTGGAGTTCTTGAGCCGTTCTTCTGGGGTAAATCTTGGGGTTGAAATCACCGACAATGACCTTGAAGAAAGAGTGGTCTTCTCTACAAAGCTCCATATCCATACAGAGTGCGTCCAGCTCTTCTTCATTATGGCTCAATATTGACGCGTAAACAACGAAGATTGTTAGAGCTGGGGTTGAGCCACATCTTCTCAATCGCAAACGCCCGATTCGGGTTTTCAAGCTTTCGTACGAATCGATGTTCATGGTCAAGTGCGTGTTGACGAGGACACCTACACTGCCGACGCCTCTGCTGGCGCATCTTCTAAGAAAGAGTTCTTATCCAGTTTCAAAAGTGGCATGCAACAACGGGCAGTGCCCTCTCGTCTCGGTCAGTCCGATGACGTTATACTTGATCTTCGTGGCATGCATCACCAGATCTTCGATGCACGCTTCCGATGCGACCATTCATGCATTGAAAGTACAGATCGCCATCTCAGTCCTTTTCCTTTCAGGCGGCCTGTCGTAGCCCTAAAATTTTGGAGGTCTTTGACAAGAGGCATTGGCTCAACGTCGCCTTATCAGGGACTCCTTCAGCTTCTGGGGAATGAGGCCCATTTTTATTACTTTTTGGCACATGAACATACACGTGTAGCTTGCCAGGCTCTGACATGGGGGGGGGGCGCCCACTCTTAGCCGTGTGGACATGGGGACGTGCCGTTAAGTTATATACATATATTTTTTTATAAATATAATTGAAAAGGAGAATGAAAGCTCCAAGCAACGTTCCCATCAAACGGTAGAAAATTACTGGCGAGCCCTTTCAGACAGTAAAAGCCGAAATCTGACGGTAAAGTCGAAAGTGTGTGGTAAGGCATTAGGTTCCCTTTCTTCTGGTAGGCAGATATTTTTCCGAGCGAGTCCTTGTCCTTAGTCCAGAACGCAATGATTCAGTCGTAATGTACCGGGGCTTGCTGTGTGCAATTTATCGCATGAAGAACGAATTCAACCGCGACCTCAGGTGAACGGATAAAGGGACTCAAACAAGGGGGCCGCCATCCCTCCAGTTCCTCAACAACTACCTAACCAAAAACCACGGAGCGCCAAGCCGGTCAATATAAAGCCTCGCATAACTGGAAATAGCCGGATTTTAGCATTGGAATACAGGAAATACTAAAAATTTACAAGCGAAGGTTTTTTGTTTACATAAATAGGAGTGGTAAAGCGGATACACCCACACGCCGCACGCTTCACCCATTCACCGTGTTGAGGTGGTAAGCCAGCGGGGGAGAGGCCTTTGCATTAGAGCACATAATGAAGCAGAAAAAAAACCAGAAAAAACAGAATTGTTTTTATTATCATAAAGGATAAAGGATAAAGGATAAAATTTTTGGCGTTAATCAATCCCGTCTGAGGAATGCGCTCCCGCACTCGACTTCCATTCAGAATCGTAGTGGCGTAGTAAATGCGTATGTGGCCTATACAATGACTTGCGGTGGCCAGCCGATGTTTGTCAGTGCTTTTATCCTCCCAGACGAGTCTGGTACCGATTCACATTCACATTCGCAGGCATCGATCCGGGATTCGAACCCTTGACCGTGCGTGTGATATAGTGCGCCACTTGCCACTACACCACCTCCGCCCTTTTATTATCATGTATGCTGAAATTAATTAAAGCCGGACGCGCCCACAAGACTTCTGTTTCATTTTTTTTTAGTGGAGGAATGAACAAGAGGCCTGCACCCTTGACTCACTAGTAATTCTACAGATCACGGCAGGAATCTCCGTGCAAAGGAATGAGAAGTTATGGGAAGCGGAAAAAAGAAAATACCTAAAATTTTTGTATGTGTTTTATGCCCATCACGAAGACAGAATCTTGAACACAAATTTGAGGCGGATTCCCTATTTCAAAAATTTCAGCTTTTTTTTTGAGCATCATGTCAAATATGCTATTGTGCTATGGAGTGTAGCCAAATAGTCATATTAGAGCCATGACTAGACCATTGAGAGAGATGAATTGGTAGAAAGACATCATCCGTATAACCTCATATGTGCCAGGAAGATTTTCTAAATTTGAAAAATAGTTCGAAAGTAAGTTGTTAGGAGTGCACATCATCGTGTTCATAATTCTACCTCTAGATGTAAATTTATGCTCGAACTCGATGAGCGGAATTTGTGTTTTTAGGTAAAAAGAAGACGATAATAAAACTTGGAAAGTCTAGCGAACCCATTTACAACCACTTCTAGAAGTGGACGAAATTTGGAGATAGCTGATATCTCCGGGGAAATGTAGCCAAATTTTCTTCCCGATAACATTTGTGTTGCAAGCCCCTTCCTTCAATACCGGTCGGCGGAGCTCTCATGCTACAAAGGTGATTCTCAAACCTCACCCAGAAGACCTGTTGAGCGATGGGATTCCGCCCATGATAATGGGATCGGCTTAGGACGTGCCATGGAAAAACATGACGGACGAGACGGGAGCGATACGCTGAAAGCAGCGATGCAGCTGCCATTTTAGATTATATTCAGATTGTTGTGGATATCTGGTATTAAGCAGAAAACATCATTACGACTGCAGCTCATCAGCATTCAAATGATACACCAAGGAGCGGGGGAGACATTAACGACATTAGATCGCTCAAGTGAACTAGCTAGAAATTTGGTGGGCTATTAACTGTTTCAAGTCATGGGCATGGCATGAGCAAAGCCAATCAAAGCAAAACATGTATAACTGACTCAAATATGTGTTTTTGCGAGTAATCACCTATGTAGCCTCCTTTCCAGCTGACTCATCTTTACCTAATCCAAAAATATGCATCCTACGCACGTTGTCTATGCAGGTTTCGCCTCCAGAAGAAACTGCGTAGCAAACCAGTGATAATAAATATATATGATTGCACTTCTACTACAGACTCCGTTGTATCCTAATGCTAACGATACAGCGAGCCATACAGCGATCTAATCCCGAGTAATTTCCTGATAGAGACAAGGCACTCACCTCTTCGTAGCATCACAACCACTTTTGAAAGTGAACCGCACCCGTGTCTTTTTGTAAGAGGAACACAAAAATCCAGCTGATCAAGGCAACACCTGATGCTGTTTACGACAAATATCCGGAATAAGTCATGCACACGTTGCTCTTGCTCTCCTTTGCAAACTGCTCTTGTCACCCATAGCAACGTTTTAATTTTCTGTTGATCACAAGCTATAAGGCGTAGCTATTCGGAAGGGAAGAACGCGTCGTCACCACCAACCATGAATTTGCTCCCCTTCTAGCATCAACCTTGTAGAACAACATTTGTTCTGTAATTAGAATATCTTCTACTATATCCTCACCTCTCGAGTAGTTGTAATTTTTTGCTGTGCTTTTTTTATTCGTCGTTGAGGTCTACTTTTGATACCTGGTTTTTCTTTTGTATAGAGTGTAGAGTTCTCAAAAATTGACACTGATCCAATCCGCTATGAATCGAAAGTTCACTTCGCTCTTCGTTGTCATCAAATGGGGGACGGCCCCTAGAGCTCGCCAGCTGTTCGGAACAAATATTGAGGAATAATGTAGAAACTTGGTGTGACTACTACAAGTCTCTCTACTCCTTTTGTGCAACGTCAATGTCAAAAAAACCTAACTAAATATATAGTTCATTGTGTTTCATCTACTTTGATGTCGTTTACGCTCCAAAATAATTGCTTTGACTCCTTCCCCACCCTTCATATCCTTTCGCTGCTTTTCTTTCGCAGAACTCTATAGCTATCTATTTCGCCTAAACACACGCGAACACCCGACCCACTTCGTCAGCGCCTTGCCCGTCATGAGCAGAATCCTGCTCGTCTCATGTGTGCTCGAGTAAGTTGATTCGTTCCCCTCTTCTTTTTTCAACTTGACTGCACAGATTTACTCAGATTGTGATCGTTTCAAGCGCGCTCCGCGCCCTAAATCCACCCTACACCCCAGCGAGGAGATCCTATTCACTCACTTTCTACGACTTACCTTCGGTGTTCTACATAATTCTGTCTCCTATACCACCACAAAAGTTGTACCCACTTTGTCCAAATCAACGATTTTCGCTCACCGCCTGTATTCCGAGTTTAGCCTTGCCGTCCATGATAAGTGTTCTCTTACTGCAGCGTGTACTCCCACCGAAATGAAACCTCCAGGTCTATAGGAACATCAGCTATGAGTCTTCGGTCAGACACTTGTTTTGCGCACACCCGGCCACCTGTAGGCGGAGTCCAGTCCTGCTATCTACCATGAGAGTTTCCATCCTTATTCCTAGCAAGTTTGACCCGATTCTCTTCTCTGAAGAAATGAAACGATAGTATTCACTATTATTTTGCACCTCAAGGTGGTCATTTTGGTTTTTTTGTTCAAAGCATCTTCATTCAGCGCTACCGGAACGAGTTTAAGCGGTAATTTTTTGCTCATCGTCCTCCTGAACTCATCCCTGCCATTTCATACTTGGAAGTTTTTGCAAGAGATTACAGGTTGACCTAACACTATATTAGTATGTACTCGATTTGAGAAAACCCCTTCAAATTCACTTATAGTTGGTACACGTCGCTGAGAATACTTGTTCAGCTTTTCAAAAGACATTCTAATGTTATAGAGAAGTACCTCTAACCATTTTTCTCCATGCCTAGAACGTTTCTGAACAGAAACAAACGTGGTCAAGTCCTCGAAGTGGGCGGGGTTGGCATTGAAACGGGCGAAGCATATCCATTGATCCATGCATGCTTCGCCCACTTTAATGCCAACCCCGCCCACTTCGAGGATTTAACCACATTTTTTCCATTACCTCTAACCACTTTTTCTGCGTTCTAGAACGTGTCTGAACAGAGTTACATTGATTTTTGAAAAGTAGGTTTCATCTCGACGCACACCCCGCCCATCGTGGGCGGTGCTTTGCTAGGATTACACATGCCCAGCACTCTTAAGGCCTTGCTCACTCTCGATGTCTCCGTTGAATAGAGTTATGAACCCCTGTGGAAAGAACCGCCCACTGCAAGAACGCTCCGCCCACAGCTGATAAGTTTCCTTTTTTCCAAAATTGTAGACCCATTCTTCACCTTTGCACATTTTTTCCCGGCATCTAAACTGATATGAGACCGGAAGAGAAGAGTTTGCCCATGACCCCGCCCAATTCCGGCGCATGCCCACCTCTCGGGGCGGAGCTCCGTCAGGCTCACATGTGCTCTGTTGTACTTAACCGGGGGACGGTACGAACGTGCGTCCGAGGGTTCGCGCGGCGAATTGCGCGGCAAAGTTCGTGGCGATTTGTACGAATGCAGCGCCAATTTTCGGGGCACAAATTCGAAGTAGTGTAGTTTAGTAGGGTCGGATGATCCTCCTTATCCACTCCAATTGAAGTTTGGGCCCCAACGACAGGCGACGAACTCGCTCAAACTACTACGAACTTCGCCGCGCAGTTTGACGCGCGCATCCTCGGACGCACCTTCGTACACATACCCTACTTAACCTATGCCCAACCCATTCCAAACCTGACCCGACTGGTGTTCCTACAGGTTATATCGAATTTCCGTTAAGACAAACAAATACACAAACAAACAAATAAACAAACAGACAGAGCGCTTTATACATGGTAAAGATTATTTTGTGATGACCTAGCTTTCATTTCAATAGCAGTAGGCATTTCTGCTGTTTGACTATGGTATTTCTATGGGTTTTTCTGCTGGAAAACATACGATATTCACAATTCAAAAAACTCGCTGAAAGAGAATGGTGTAGCACTCAGCTGCGCTGTACCAAATTGTATTAAGATTAGCGTATAAGATTAT